AAGGCCCTAACTCCCTCAGAATAGATTCCTGTACAGTACTACACTCCTACTGCTATTCCACTTCCTGATTGCTGTTGCATGCTGGTATTTGTAGTCCATTGAGGCCTAAGACCTCTCTGACTGAGAATTCTAAACTCCTCTCTCGAAACCACAAATCCCAGAATGCAACGGAGCAGTAAAAGTGAAGGAGCAGCCCTATAGGAGCGTAGCGCGGTAATCTCCTCAGAAACACAGAGAGAAAAAGAAAAAAACAACAACACGAGAGACGCCACGGGGTTTCCGAGCCCTGGCAAGCCAAACCAAGGGCGCGCTTCCCTTCCTTTGCGTCGCCCTCATTACGTTTAGCGTCACCTCCCGAGAAGCCGCCCGCTGATTGGCTGCGGGGAGCGGAAGCGAGGGCGGGCGCTCCGCCGCCGTTGCCGCAGTGACGGGATCAGAGCGCTCTTCCCAGGAGCTGGGAAATGGCGGCGGTGCCGTCGTCGTCGCGGCGCTCCCAACAACAACAGCAACACCTCCACCACTCCCACCACCCAGGGCTATCGTCGCCGCCGCGGAGCCCCAGCCTCCCGGCCCCTCAGCCGCGGCCTCCTCTCTCCGGGCCTGAGGGCGAGGCGACCGCGAACGGAGGCCGGGAAGGCCCAGCGGCGTCGGCGGCGTCGGCGGAGAGGCCTTTCTCCCCAGAGAGCCTCGGCGAGGCCTCAGGGCCTTCTCCTCCTCCTCCTCCGCCTGGCTCCGGGGCCAACAGCAGCAGCAGCGGCGGCGGCAGCTCCTCCTCCTCAGGCTCCGCTTCTTCGTCCCCGTCGTCGTCGTCCTCCTCCTCAGCGGCCTCCAGCCCCGCCGCCCCGGAGAGCCCCGAGGCGCCCCCTCCTCCGGCCTCGCAGCCTCCCGCTCCTCCTCCTCCTCTTCCTCCCCCTCCGCCGCTGGGGAGCGGGGCCTTCCGGGAGCTGCTGGAGGCCTGCCGGAATGGGGACGTGACCCGGGTGAGGCGCCTGGTGGACGCCGCCAACGTCAACGCCAAGGACATGGCCGGGAGGAAGTCCACCCCGCTCCACTTCGCCGCAGGTGAGGAGGAGGAAGGCCTGGGAGACGGAGCCCACGGCTGAGGCCGACCTCCCCGGCTGAAAGGGCCCAGAGCAGGGGTAGGCAACCTTTCCCCTTTAAGGGCCGAGGGACTTCAGCTCCCAGAAGCCTCAGCCACGTTGGCCAATAGTCCCATGTTGGCCAATAGCTCCTGGGATTCTGGGAGCTGAAGTCCCTCGGCCCTTCAAGGGGAAAGGTTGCCTACTCCTGGCCCAGAGGCTTAGCATAGTACGAGATAATGCTAAAACAAAGGACGGTACCTGCTTGGATTTGCCCATAGGGAATCATTCATTGGGAAACGCTTACCCTTAGGGGAATACATAGGGAATACTTGCCCATAGGGAATCATTGGGGAATGCTTGCCTATCGAGAAACCGTTCTTGGCCATAGGGGAATCATTGGAGAGTGCTTACCCATAGGAAATCATTGGAGGGTGCTTACCCATAGGAAATCATTGGAGAATACTTGCCCATAGGAAATCATTGGGGAATACTTGCCCATCGAGAAACTATACTTGGCCATAGGGGATCATTGGAGAGTGCTTACCCATAGGAAATCATTGGAGAATACTTGCCCATAAGGAAACTTAGGGGAGTGCTTGTCCATAGGAAATCATTGGGGAATACTTGCCTATCGAGAAACCATACTTGACCATAGGAGATCATTGGAGAGTGCTTACCCATAGGAAATCATTGGAGAATACTTGCCCATAAGGAAACTTTGGGGAGTACTTGCCCATAGGAAATCATTGGGGAATACTTGCCCATCGAGAAACTATACTTGGCCATAGGGGATCATTGGAGAGTGCTTAACCATAGGAAATCATTGGAGAATACTTGCCCATAAGGAAACATAGGGGATACTTGCCCATAGGAAATCATTGGGGAATACTTGCTTATCGAGAAACAATACTTGACCATAGGGGATCATTGCAGAGTGGGGATACTTGCCCATAGGAAATCATTGGGGAATACCTGCCTATCGAGAAACCATACTTGACCATAGGGAGTCATTGGAGAGTGCTTAACCATAGGAAATCATTGGAGAATACTTGCCTATTGAGAAACCTTCCAAAATGGAAGGCATTTTGGAAAGCAAAATGGCGCCCTGCGCTTGCGTACGCATGTGCACCACAACGGGGTAGTGTGCATGTGCACGCATGCGCACGCGCCTCTGCCACCATTTTGTCCCCCCCTTCGTCACGATGAGGATTGGGGGACAGCGGAACCAGCCCCGCCCCCAGAAAGTTTGCCGACCCCTACTTTAGGGTCTCCAGAAGTTAGAAATGACTTGAAGGTACATTAAGAACAATGTTCTTGGTTTGGGGCTTAAATATCCTAAAAGCACCAGATTTTGGAAACTAAGCAGGGTCAGCCCTGGTTAGTACTTGGATGGGAGACTGCCAAGTTCTGTTTCAGAGGAAGGAACTGTTCTGTTTCAGAGGAAGGAACTGGCAAAACCACCTCTGAGCATTCCTTGCCTAAGAAAACCCTTTGAAATTCATGGGATTGGTGTAAGTCACTCGCAAATTGGAGGCACATACATACACGGTGGGGTTGGAGATAAGCAAATAGGACTGTGGCATGCACCAGTGTGAGAATATTCCCTATTCTGGACTGCTTCTGGCACTACTCTTTCATTATAGTTTTATAACACTCTCTCAGCCCCAGGGGAAAGCAATAGCAAGCCTCCTCTGAACAGATCTTGCCAAGACAAGCACATGATAGTATTGCCAAAAGTCGGAAATCACTTGAAGGCACACACAACAATAATAACAACAACATATAAAACAGCAAAATCAAGATTTGCTTTTTTGGAATGGATGTGTTTCTGGAATGGCTGGAATCATGGGAATTGTAGTTTTTTCTGAGACATTGAGCGTTCTTTGTCAGAGAGAACTCTGGTGCCACAATAAACTACAGTTCCCATGATTCCCTAGCACTGAGCCAGGACAGTTAAAGTGGCCTCAAATTGCATTATTTCTGGCAGTCTGTTAAGGCCCTCAGCTGTGGCTGCCATGGGGAAGAGGTGATTCCCTCAGGCTTTTTTCCAGTGCTCAGAGGGAGAGTCTCCTGAGTGAGAATGGGAAGTTAATGGTCCTCAAAGAGTGGCTGCCTCCACTTATTGTTTGCTTTTTCTGCTCTCCTCAGGGGACCACAGTGGGGACAGTTGGACTCCCTTGAGGCCATTTGCCAAACAAGTATGCAGGGGGGGAGGGTTATTTGTGGCTGCTGGTTAGATGAATAGCTCTGCCTCCTGTGGAACAGGAGTGAAGACTGGGCCTTTTGTTGCCAATGATGTGTGCCTTCAAGTCATTTC